GCGCTCAGTCATTGTCACAAATGTTCTGTGTTAATCCACTGCAGCATTGGTGTTCTCATGTATCAAACCATCTTGCTTAAGCCTGTGCTTTCTCAAAAGCAAACCACAGCACTGTTTGCTATTGCACAGCCCCAAACTTACCAGGAATACATACAAGTTAATGGCACAAGTGGGTTTTTTTTTCTTTCTTTTTTTTTTTTTTTTTTTTTTCCTCCCTCCCCTCCCTCCCGTAGAGATTAAGATTTAATTTTACAGATGGATTATAACTGCTCTTTTAAGTGCCATTCTTTTAGGGACAACTTAACTGAACAGGCTAAGGAGAGGAAAAACCTTCCACAGCAGAATGGATTCCGTAAAGTACGCTATACGCGTTGATTCGTGAGGAGCTGGAGAATTCCATGCCCTTTGAGACCCACTCCAAGGGAAGGGAAGCCTTTGCTCGTCCTTTATGTGGATCTCAGCCACACGTGTGCAGCAGCACCTATCTCTGCGGGCAGGCACTGAGCCCCGCTGGCAGCAGCGGCGCCGCAGCGGCTCAGCACGGAGCTGCGAGCTGTTGGGGGCGCTGCCTCCACCGCGCCGTGCAGCTCCTGGAGCTCCTGCAGCCCCAGCAGCGCCGAGCACAGCAGGCTGCTGCCATACTCCTGTCAGACACCCAGCCCAGAGCTGCTCATTGGACAGAGACAAGACACCAAACCTCAGAACCAGAGGGCAAAAGAGGAAAGAAAAAGGCAGATACAGGACAGGTGCGTGTTTTCTTTGTCACGTTACTTTATGTAACTTCACATAACTGTTGCCATAGGAACATTATGCAGGGTACACTTATGGTTTGGCTTTATGGTGTTCTCCATGTACCAAAAACTTACTTAAAGTATTTAGTAAAACATAACCTCTCTCCTCCCTTAGTGCTTCACAGAGCAGGAAGCTACTGGTGAGCTTTCGACCTGTTGCCTGTCTTTGGAAGCTTCTAACTTCAAACAAGAAAGACTTCTGCATCCTTGTTTAGGCAGCTGAAGTCCCCATTACTTATCTTCTGTGAGTACAACAACAGCATCTTCTCACTACCACCAAAAGGAAGATCTGATTTCTTGATTATCAAACACACTCGGTAAGCTGTCAATTCACATGACATATTGCAAGTTAAATAATCAAGTAAAAATTCACTTTAACTTTGCTGTATTTATATACTATATAAATTTTACATGCTATATATTTACAGTGGGGCAAGTGCTTTTTATCTTTAAAAAAACAAAGATCATACTTCAGACATCTCTGAACAACACAGCTTGTATAAACCAGACAGATTATTCAGATGAACTGTATTTAATACAGGTTCCCCACTCATCTCCTGATGCAGGACCAGTGAATAATAAGTGCATCACAGTTTGATAGCATTTAATAATAAAAAATAAAATCACAGTATGAATTTGTCTGTAACTAGAAACCTTAGAGACGAAACAAACAACTGAGACGTGAGACGAGTGATGCTGTAAAAACATATGTAATAAAAACATATGGGAGTATATAAACAGTCTGAGAGATACATTCAGCACTGCATATTCTGATCATTATGTTCCGCCCGCTGAAAACCAGAACATATTCTTCAATCTTGAGCGTAAATAAGATGTGAAGTAAATTAGTTTCTAGTGTCAGATGTCATAGAAAACGGACGAAGATCTTGCAGAGCTCTGTAGTTGTTGGAGAGCTTGTGAAATCTTAAATAAGTCTTCAAATAAAATACACAGACTGTCAGTTGCAGATTTTATAATCCTGTGGTTTTCCTGGTTGCTCTTGAACCAGATGTCGAACTTGGAGTAACAATTACATGAATAACACACAATCAACCTGAGTATGTAATTAAGCAGCATTTGAGATGTTCAATTCCAGGGCATTAGTTTCAGTGAGATATTCACATGGAAATTCACAATGTTCAGCAGTTGTAGAAAGTTTCCACTCTTTTGGATTAGAAGTACATTGTAAAAAAGAAAGTCTCAAGTTTAAAAACTAAGAACAAAGTTCTTTCATGGTAAAATTCTTCACAGAAATCCGAAGCACCACTTATGATTAGGTTTTGTTTCCATGGTAATGTTGCCATTTAGATGTTTTGATGGTTAATGTATTTTCATAATGTTGAGTTGTTGGTATAGATGGCTAAAACATCTTGCTCTTGACTGATAGTTAATGTCACAGATGGGAGCATTGGGAGTGCAAAAGTATTGATGGTGAAAAGGTGTTGGTTCTGAATGACACTAAAACTCACTGTGAGGAATGCTGGGATGGCTAACGTGTTGATTGCTAAAAGGTGTTGGTTTGGGTTGATGGCTAAAGTCACTGACGTGAGTGCAGGGACAGCTAAAGTGTTGATGGCTAAAAGGTGTTGGTTCTAATGGTTAAATTCACTGATGGGAGTGTTGGGACAGCTAAAGAGTTGATGCCTAAAAGGTGTTGGATTTGACTTATGGTTATAGTCACTGACGGGAGAACCGGCGTGGTTAAAGTACTGATGGCTAGAAAGTGTAGGCTTTGAGTGACGGTAAAAGTAACTGATGGGAGTGTTGGGATTGCTAAACCTTTGCTAAAAGGTGTTGGTTTGGACTGATGGTTATAGTCACTGGTGGGAGAACTGATATGGCTTAAGTACTGCTGCCTAAAGGGCGTTGGTTTTGATGGTCAGTTAAAGTAACTTATGGGAGCACTGGGTTATAATTGATGGTTAAAATCACCAACGAAAACAGTGGGATGGCTAAAGTACTGATGGCTAGAAGGTGTTAGTTTTGATTGATGTTGAAAGTCAGTGATGGGAGTTTTGGAATGGCTAAAGTATTAATGGCTAAACGGTGTTGCTTTTGATAGATAGTACAAGTCACTGATGGGAGTGTATGGATGTCCAAACTTTACACTGACTAAAAGGTGCTGCTTTTGATAGACGGTTAATGTCACAGATGGGAGAAATAGGATGGCTAAAGAACTGCTGATTAAAAGGTGTTAGATTGGATAGATGGTTATTGTCGCTGATGAGAGGGCTGGCATGGCCGAGGTACTGATGGCTGAAAGGTGTTAATTTGGACTGATGGATAGAGTCATCGATGAGACATTGGGCAGGACTGAAGAACTGAAGGCAAAGAGGTGTTAATTTGGACTGATGGATAGAGAGTCAGTGATCGCAGGGCTGCAATGGCTGAAGTATTGATGACTGAAAGGTGTTGGTTGTGACTGATGTTTACAGTAACTGATGGGAGGGCTGGCAGGGCTGAAGAACTGATGGCTAGAAAGTGTTGGTTGTGACTGATGGTTAAAGTCACTGATGGAAGGGCGGGCATTGCTAAATAATTGCTGTTTAAATGGTGTTCCTTATGAATGATGGTAAATGCCCCTGATGGCCCCTGAGGGCTGGCATGGCTAAAGTATGTTATGCTTTAAGGCGTTTGTTGTGACTGATGGTTAAAGTCACTGATGGGAGGGCTGGCAGGACTGAGGTACTGATGTCTAAAAGGTGTTGGTTGTGACTGAAGGTAAATGTCACTGATGGGAGAGCTGGCATGGCTGATATACTGATGGCTTAAAAATGTTTTTTTTGACTGATGGTTAAAGTCACTGATGGGAGGGATGGTGTTACTAAATAATTGCTGGTTAAATGGTGTTCCTTAGGACTGATGGAAAATGTCACTGATGGGAGGGCTGGCGTGGGTGAAGAACTGATGGCTAAGAAGTGTTGGTTGTGAATGCTGGTTAAAGTCACTGATAGGAGGGCTGGTGTAGCTGAAGAACTGATGTCTAAAAGGTGTTCGTTGTGACTGATGGTAAATGTCACTGATGGGAAGGCTGGCATAGCTGAAGATCTGATGGATAAAAGGTCTTGGTTGTGACTGATGGTCACTGATGGGAAAGCTGGCATGGCTGAAGATCTGATGGCTAAAAGTTGTTGGTTTTGATGGTTAGTTAAAGTCACAGATTGGGAGCACTGGGTTTTAATTGATCATTCAAGTCACTAATGTGAGCCCTGGGATGGTTTAACTATTGAGGGCTAAAAGTTGTTGGTTTTTATTGATGGTTAGTGTCACAGATAGGAACATTGGAATGTCTGAAGTATGGATGGCTAAAAGGTCTTGGTTGTGAGTGATGGTTGAAGTCACTGATTAGAGTGTTGTTACGGCTAGAATATTGATAGCTACATTGTGTGGGCTTTGATGGTTACTGTCACAGCGGTCACTGATGGGACCACTGGGATGGTTACTGTAATGATGCTGAAAGGTTAATGGTTAATGTCACAGATGGCAGCAATGGGATGTCTGAAGTATTGATGGCCAAATGGTGTTGGTTTCCATTGATACTTAATGTCACTCATGGGAGTATTGGGATGGTTAAAGTATTGATGGCTAAATGCTGTTGCTTTTTATTGATAGTTAAAGTCACTGATGGGAATACTGGAATGGCTAAACTTTTGCTGGCTAAAATGTGTAGGTTTTGACTGGTGGTTAAAGTCACTGATCAGAGTACTGTCATGGCTAAATATTGATGACTACAAGGTGCTATTTTTGACTGAGTTCAAGATACTGATGTGAGTGTTGGGATGGCTAAAGTACTGATGGCTAAAAGTTGTGCATTTTAATTGATATTTAATGTCACTGATGGGAGTGTTTGGATTGCTAAAGTATTGATGGCTAAAAGGTGTTGGTTTTGATTGATAGTTAAAGTCACTGATGGGAGCATTGGAATGGCTGAAGTATTGCTGGCTAAAAGGTGTTGGTTTTGATTGATAGGTAAAGTCACTCATAATAATGTTGGAATGTCTAAAGTATTGATGGCTGAAAGGTGTTGGTTTTGACTGATAGGTAAAGTCACTGATGGGAGTGTTGGGATGGCTAAAGTATGATGGCTAAGAAGTGTTGGTTTTGCTTGATAGTTAAAGTCACGGATGGGAGCATTGAGATGTCTAAAGTGTTGATGGCTAAAAAGTGTTGTTTTGGTTGATGGGTAAACTCACTGATTGCAGCGATGAGATGTCTAAAGCAGCCGATTCTGATGATGTGAAGTGTTCGCTTTTGTTGAAAAGTTGTTGGCTTTGACGGTTGTTTTCGTTTGAGTATTGAAGGCTTCAATTAGTAATTTGCATCTGAAAGACAAATAGAGAACATTATTCTCTGCTGTGAGGTTCAAGGTGTAGCTGTCTGACTCGCTGTCCTTATTTCTAAACAGAGAGGTCCCAAATCTGCGTGCAGTTTGATCAACTCTGTGACTGCAGGGCTGATCTGACTGGGGAAGGCTCCTGAGAATCTCTCAGTGAAGTGACTCTATTTCAGTCCTATGCTAGCAACTCTGCTAACTGCACAGAATACTGCGACAACACTTTAACAGCAAAGGGCACGTCTTACCTGTAAGTCAGCTTAGACAGCATCTTTGTTTTATTAATCATCTTGTGGTCAACCTGACCAAATCTCAGCTTCGAAAACAGAAGCTTTCAGAAACTTGCTAGAGGACATATGAATGCAGGAAAATAAGGATTTTAAAACTTGTCCCTTCTGCTTTTTCCTTAAGCCACGAGCTACACCTGGCTCATTTATTCACAGCAATATCAGTCTGGATGAAAGGCACAACCTAACAAGTCCTTCTCAGTCCTTCACTACACTTTCTTAGTCTATTTTTGACTAGTGTAGAAAAACAATTTGCCATCTGTTGGCCAGAGAATTTATTAGAGCCAGAAGAGCATTAGAGGACATCCATTTTTACCTGTGCTGTTGTTCCTGATTGATCAACTAAAACAGAGAAACTTAAAAACTTAAAAATTTAGTACAATTGGGATTCTTTTGAGTTAGTATCATAAGAAGTGTGGTTTTTACAACAGTAATAGTCCTCATTTCTTTTTTTCAGCAAAGGGACAGATATAATATTAAAGCTCACAGTAATGATTGATCAGCCAGCCTTCTCCAAAATATCGTATCCTTAGATTAAAACTTCTGGTTGTCAAAATACAATCATGCTCCTCAACAACTGTACTTCACCTTGGGGAAACTTTTCAGTGCCTGAATCCACCCACTGTGGCAATTTACTTCCCTATCCAAGCAATGCAATTCCTGCAGGTAAAAATCTCTTCTGGAAATCAACTTCTCCAAATATGGAAAGGCAGTTCAATGTAAAGCAGGAAGATTAATTCCTTTGCTTCCTGTACCAGGATAACATTTTCAACACTGGACTATTATCAAAAGGGATTGCCAGGGACTGTTAAGCCATCTGATAATAATGGGTAGGTACAAAATGTCAAAGTTCAAGGTGAAGCTTGCCTTCGATAGCAAGCTATCTTCTTCAGAGATTACATTTGTTACCTGTAAGAGGTAAACACATTTGGACAGGGAGGGAGATTGATTTCAAAAACAGATGCAGTCTTGCCAGTAATGCAGCTAGTATTTTTCAGAGTACTGATATTCTGTACACACAAATACGTGGATTATATATAATACATTAAAAAAAAAAAAGTGAACATTAGAAACTTTACAGCCCTGCTGAATCAGTATGTCTCTATAGTCCTAACTAATTTATCCTATTGTGAGTGCTTATTAAAATATCCGAGTAATTGGGACTGGGATCTCATGTCAGTAGCAGGCATCTATGGTTGTTTTTAAGTAACACACACTATTTAGGAAAAAAATAGTGGAAAATGTTGTCAAATTTGATGTTTAGAGGCTGAATTTGTTACAGTGTGCAATCTTCCTCATCATATAACACCAGAGCTAATTAATTTAAACTATATTATCTACTGGGTGTCCAGGTCAGGATGATGAGAAGAACAGAGTTCAGCATGAGTTAAACCAGGGACTCAGTTTGGTACTCTCTCTGTAGAAAACTAAATACAAACTTGACTTTTTTATACTAAAAATGGGTAACAGCTATTTTGTCAGCCTGTTTCTCTGTATTTTTTAACCCTACACTAACAGCAAAAAGAACTCAACGAGAAGTAAAACAGCAGCAGGAATTTAACATACTTTCCAGGTGTCTCATGGTAAAGGATTCTCTGGAGAGTTAAGAACTGTGAATTCAGTGCGCTTAGAAGGCAGATCTACACCTGAAACAAAACTGTGTCAGTATTACCACCAACTTATGTTACTCTGAATAAGCAGTCAGCACTAGTTCTGTCATACAATAAAGCTGAACATAGCCTTTTATTTAAAGAAATTATTCTGGCAGTCTTTTTTAGGAAGACGGTGTTTCAGCAGTACCAACCTGGAAGTCTCCCTTCTCTTCCAACTACTCTGTCTCCTTATTTTTCCCAGTTAGTTGGACTGAATCTAATATATTTTGCATCTCTCCCTCCTGTTCACCATTTAACCTTCAAATTTAAACCCAAAAGATTTGTTTCTCCATCTCTTTACTTCAAACTTTATTTCCTAGCGATCCTTCAAGCATAGGGGAAAAAAACCAGCTTATTAACCTCTTCCTTCTTAAATATTTCTGCAGACTATATGGACTGTGCATACTACAAAGATTTCAGCAACCGTTTAAAGACTGTTTTAATAACCTCCATGCGAATTAAAAAAAATTCTCTGAACGCCCAGTGGCCCCTTACCTTTAATATTCTCATTGGATGCAATGGAGATCTAGTTCTTGATTTTGCTCCCACAGGAATGCATGCCTTCCTTGTCAGGTTGTCTACTGCCATCATTTCCGTATTGCTCACGTAAACAGTCACCAGGAGAGTGAGATTCTTCCTTCTCCCATGCTTGCTTCTGGAAACGAAGATCCGAGCTTTCCAAGAAGCCTTTCTCCTTCCTGGTGTGTTTCTTCTTTTTCTTTTTTTTCTTATGTTTGCGATTGTCATTGTCAAAGTGGAGCACAGAGGAATCCGAATCATAATGTCTGAAGGAAACATGCAAGTTAAAAATAGAAAAAAGATGTAGCCCTTGATGTATATACGAAATGTTACTTATTTTACCACAGATGATGATTTGCAGCATGTCAGCTATTTTGTGGTACTTTGTGCACTTCTAACTATAGATGCGGCAAACTTAAGCCCTCAGATTGAAGGACAATAGATCCTGGTTTGTAAACAAATCACTAACATTGGCTAGTTCTGGAATATATGCAATTAAAAAAAAACCTGTTTTTAGCTAATTGAGAATGCTAAGCAGATGTGATTCTAACTATGTGGTCCAAATACAGTGTTCTAATACAATTCACCTAAATCTTTCCTAACTTCAATTGATCAACCTAACAACATGGTCCCCAGCCAGATCATGCTATAAAACTAAGTTAGAAACAATGAAAAAGAAGGAAGATACGAGAAACACCCAGAAAAGAATTAGGAAGAAATTGCTGAGTATGCTGGAATCCTTGCTTACTTGTAATCCTTCTCTCGATGTTTATCTTTGGACTTCTTCTTGGCTTTCTTGAATTTTTCCATCTTTTGCTCATCCAAAACCTCTTTTTCTACCTTTCTGCTTTTCCTTTCTGTTTCACTTTCACTACTTTCTGCATATTTTCTTTTCCAGTCATTTCGTTTTTCATTTTTGGGGGAGAAGTCCCCACGATTTAAATGAGTTGATGGAACAGGTGGAAGTATATGTCTTTCATGAGAATACTTTTCAGGTTGCTGCCAGGCTAGTGAACAGTGTTGTGAGTGTGCTCTGTGACTGCTAAAGTGACGTACGTCCTTCTCTCTAGAGAGTGAGTTGTGAGGCCGTCTGCTTTTGTAATGATAATCCTTATGTGGCCTGGTGCAAGCATGACTTGATTTGTCATAATCTTTATTGTAATGGGAGAACTTTCTTTCTCGACTATCTCCTTTTGCATGAAAATAATAGTAATCATTGTAGTGTCTGCATTTTTGCCATCTCCAGGATTCATCTTGATAGTATCTTTCTCTGTTCCAAGTTCTCTCCTCTTTGGAACAGTAATATCTACTCCTATCTTGTTCACGTCCTCTGCTTTGAGATCTGTAATGAGAATATTTCCCTGAGCTTCTGCTGACATCAGGGCTGTTTCTTTCAGTATGGGAAGATCTGTATCTGTTTCCATTCCAATACTCCTGCTTGTGACGACTTTGCTTATTTGTTTCCACACTACGAGAGCACCTCCTTCTGTGGAAATGACCACCCCGTTTGCTCTTTTGCTTCTCCCTCTCTTCTGTATCAGAGTGTTCTTTTTTTCTTCTGTAGTGCCCTTTGTCAGTTGTTTTAGAATCGTGTATCTTTTTACCTTTTTTCTTATGCTTATTTTCTTCATAATTCCTATTAGTCGGCCCCTTGTTTTCTCTAGAAAATTGACTCTCCAAAACTTTATCCAGCTTTGTAACAGAAGAGTCATTAACAGGTGGTACATCTACATGGTTATTAGATATGTCCTTTGTATCTTGGCATTTATCTCCAGTATCTAGACACGGTGGTCCTTTAGAACTACATTCAAAATCAGACTTTATAGAGGAAGCCTGTCCTAATTCCTCTTCAGTCTCAGGAGACACTTCACTATACAAAGGATTTTCTTTTGCAATGAGATCAAGTTCTTCTGATCTTAAAAGTTCGTCTTTGTCACCACTGTCTTCAGGCTCAAAATTTAAAAGGAATTCATCTAAAGTGTCCAAGGATCCTCTCCTAACCTCGTGCTGACCACTGACATTGGGTTGTGCATTATCAGCTTTTGTTACAATACTTTCGGCAACTTCTTCTTTGGCAGAACTAATTTCAGTATCCGATTGAATAAAAAGATCCGCACCGTCATAGTTCAAGACGGAAGGAAGTTTTTGGAGTTCTTCATAGACCAACAGCGCATTCATCATTCCTGTTTCCATAAGACAATTGTTCTCAGAAGATTTCTGAGGTCCAGGGGCACTACACAGAATAAAAACACTTTTGTTGAAAGAGATGAATATTAAAAGTAAAAGTCTGTAGCACAAATCTAAATAAAGCAATCAACCAACAAAAACCTCATGACTACCTGAACCCTCTTTAAGACATCCAATTTAAACACCTGTCTTTTGATTATTACACTCTCCTCAGTTTTCAGAAAAAGTGTTTTTTTTCCATCTTGCTTCTGGTTGTATTGCAACAAGACAAACAAACAAACAAGCCCAATACATCTATCTTCTTCCACGTGCTGATCTGACTACCATCAATAGCCAAAACCGCTCTATCTGCTCTCCCATTCCAACTAGAAAAAACAACAATTGAAACACAGATTTCTCACTGTCCCCCAAATGAGAGAGCAGGTGATGAAAATTTATATTTACATATGCTAGTGCTGTAAAAAAGGAGAAACAGACAACACTTCTACAGACAAGGGTAAAAAATGGAAAAACATTCTATGAAGAAGCAGAAGTCTTCCACGGGGCACCAATGTGCATCAGAGTAATAGGCACTGTGCTGATCACCAGTTCTGCTCGTTACACTAGACATATGGTATAGAATTCTCTCTACTGACTTAAATCTTCCAATTAAAGAATATGTAGGCAGGTAAAACCATGAAAAAGTTGCATAAAACCTTGTAATGAAACTGTTTTCACTTTACCTTATTTCCTCTGACAAGCTGTTCAACTGGCCGTATTTAAAGGAATTTAGCATTTCTCGAGAGGCTGGATACAAAGTTACAGGCATCTGCAATTAAAAGGTAGAAATTAACAGGCAGAAAACAAAAGGTATTTGTAGCAGTATTGCAGACTAGCGTTTTCAGAAATTCTGCATTAAATTTATGCAAGACTGCTTTGAGTTATATGTGCTGGCTGCACTTTACATGCAACACCAACTCACTCCCAAAAATATACTTTATGAAATTTATGAAGTTTTATCCCAACTGTACTTAAGTTGGTACGTTTTAATATCTGCTCAGCTCTGCAAATTCTAATAGGATAATATCACATAGTGCTATGAAGAAATTTGTGTTGTTTTCTCAGTATTTCACATGAATTGGGAACATTATAGCACTTCTGAATACATCATAGGTGAGAAATTCTAGATGGAAAAAGCATAACTTACTGTTTTAAGCACTCCATTGGTTTTAGAAAATAACATTTTTGAAGGTTTAGCAGATGGGACTTGGCAACTGGAATCATCAAGTTTCAGTCCATTTTCTTTAGGTTCATTATCTAAACTATTAGCACCACTTAGTGAATCATTTTTTGGCAGCTCATGCTGGGATCTTTCCTCTTCAGCATTCTGACAGGAAGAATGGCAGTCCTGCAATGTACAGACCTTTTCAAACGACATTCCCTTGGGAGATATTATTTTGTCATTCCTTGTAAGTAAGTCCTCTGATGACTTCTCCTCCTCAGGTTTTCTTAAAAATTCTGTACAATAAAAGACTGCGTTATCAGAGCAGAGTTCAGGAATTCCATTCACCACTGGCTCAGTGAAAATGTCATCCAGAACATCTTGTTCGAAAATATTAGCAGCAGCTAACATTGTAGGTGTATTTGAGGTAGACTCTGCTGCACGATTTGTATCTGTGGATGAAGGAATAGATATAGTCTCATCCTCCTCCAGAGCAAGAAGACAGTCAGGCTCTGACAGTGTATCACGTTCAGGCAATTTGTTATTAAGACTGATAACGAGCGTCTGATCTATTGATGGGTTGATGATTGAAGGCCTGACCATTGTCCAGTTTTCAGCACAAGCTATGGGTGGAGCTGAAGATGGCCTTTTTAAGGTGAGACCTACGGTATTGGGTTCGTCTTTTGAAGGTATCTTTCCATTTAAGCGACTTGAATTCTGTGTTTAAAAAGAAGAGATTGCAAGATGGATAAATGCAAATTCTACAAATTATCTAAACACCTAAAAAGAAAAAAAACCCACCACCCTTCAAATACAAAGGCAAGTCCAATAAATGGTTACTTCCTAGTTTCACTGCATATTGCTTTCAAATGCATGTCACTTCTGAAATCCATTCAAACAACTTAACACTGTAGAAAGCTATTCCCAAATATGCTTATTTTCTCCTTTAAACATACCATGCAAACCGCAAAATAATTGTTCTGGTGATCAGATATAAGACAAATGGATTTCACTGTCTCACCTAAAGTGACACTGATAGGAAAAATATTTTTTTAGTTACTTAAGTATTAGTAGACTATTTAAATAGTAGCATAAGAAAGCTCTGAAGAAAGCTGCACAGGGGAAAGGAAAATAAAACTAAGATGCTGAAAACAAATAAAAATCCCATACTCCACTATCAATTTAGTGCCATTATCTGCTCCCCACCATTCCCTACTCCCCTCAATTACCTTAATCATATTAGGAGGAAGTCGTGGTCCCATGAAGCTGTCCGGCTTACGATTAGTCTCCTTTTGACCGACGAGTGAACTGGGATGAGGCGGCGCTGGTAAGTAAAGAGTACGTTCTCCAAGTGTGAAATCGTAGCACCTTCAGAAAAGAGTAGTGAGCTTAGTTTAGAGTTGGTCTTTCAGCCTGCTCTTGGACTAAATCCTATCCGAAAGTTTTAGAGGAACAGTTCATAGGATACAGAAGTCATGTATGGAAGACTTAAACAAGACTACGAACTAAAAAATAGACAGTGGTTTTCATACGATTCTGTTCAGAGTAATAACTGAGTCTTACACAACTTACCACCTCGCTTTCTCCCTTTTTCTAAATTAGCCAGCTACACATAACAGCTACATAGCAATTTGCAAAGAGTAGCAATTTAAGGCCAAGCAGTGAACACTAAAAAATGACAAGGAGTTTCAAGCTAGGCAGAGTTGAATTATACAAGTAGTATTTTTCTAGAACAGATAGAAAAACACTTGAAAAGAAGAAAAGTGTAAATAACAGGAAAGTAAATATGTTCTGAACACATTTTAATATTTGTTATTACCTGGTATAAAATAGTAAATAAGCTTGCTGAGCAAGGACTGTTTCGATGTTACTTCGCACTACTGCAGAATCATTCATCTGATACCAAAATCCATCAGCAGCCTGCAAATAAAGACAATCTTCAGATAACTGCTTGTTTTCCAAATGAAATCACTAACAGGACACCACAGAACAACATATACACAAACATATAATGAAATCTTCTACTCTAGAAACAATGGTTATCAATAACATTTGAACTGGTTTAGCAGCACAAATTTTACCATGCTAGAATGATGTTGGTATCTACCTTTATGAAGCAGAAGTAGTGTCCTGTCTGAGAACTGGCGCCGCTGTGAACCACAACCGCATATAAGGCATAAATGAGTGGTTCTCCATCTGGTTGAGACATATAAGCTCCAAGGTCAAAATACTCAGGATATTCAACATCCTGAAGAGAGAACAAGAAGATACAAACATTATTTCCAAATTCTTCATTTTGGCTTGGCAAACAAGCCTGGGAACAACATTTCCAAAAAAACAAAGATCAGAATTACAAGGGTTATGTCAAAAGTAATGCCTCCTGTTTTATGATGTCAGCTCATGACATCAGAGGCAGCTGCTGGTAGGAAGGAAACAGAGGGTTGAACCTTCTCACCAACATTCTGTGACATGGTGCTGTGTGACAGATGGCAGCAGAGGGGTACTCTGAATATCTGGCCTTTGGGAAAGTCCAATTCCAAGATGACAAAGCTGTACTACAGCTATAAATGTACCTTGGTCTCCTTCACGCCCGTGAAATCTGCAAATCTTTTCAGTGATAGTGTGAGAATATTGGAAGAACGATGTATTGTAAATCTCTTTGTTGCTGGCACCATCTTCTTGCATCTTAAAAACAAGCACAGACAGCTGGTTAAAAGCATCTTGTTTTTCCACCCAAAACAAACATACAAAATACATAACATTTTTCTTTCATACAAAGCAGATAGGAGGATATAAGAGGACATCTCTACTGAACAAAATAATAAAGGATTTAGAACATTTTCTTCTGATAGCCAAACAAATGTCTGAACAAGTACTTTTGTTACGCCTAAAAGGTAAGGCTTCACAACAGCTCAGAGTGCAGCACGAACACGAATCTATCATTAGGTTACATCACTGGATGGTAAGGCAAGGTACCATTTCTTGTTACACAAAAATGGCTTCTCAGAACTTGTGTCCTGGATAAACTGAAAGTGGAACAAGGGAGCCTCAGCCCTAAGGACTAGTTACAGCAAATAATTTCCAAAATGGATCATCTATTAGCATCAAAAACACAAGAGAAGCACAATCATTCTACAAGAAGGAGATGTCTGACTTATGTCTTTCTGTACAGATGTTGTCTGAAAAGAGACTGAAACTATCTGCAACTCTGGAACACAAGTGTTAATTTTACGTTTGGTACATTGCCCACTCAAAGGCAGGATCTACAGTGCAAGCTGCAAAATACAACCACTAGCACAAAGACTTCCTCGAGAAAAGTACTGTCGATAGCTAATAAAAAGAAAGAATAAAAGTGTCTCTCTTCAAATTGTGCTGTCAAAATACAAGGCAGAGAGTTCAAACGAGAAGAGAATGCCTAAGATCCAAAAAGAATCCCTTCTTCAAAATAAACAAAAAAATCCAAGCATTTTATAGAATTACACAAAAACTGTAATTAGATACAAAGTTTTAAGGCAGTCACCTTTACTAGAAAAAAAAAATCATCGCAGGAATGAAGAGATGTCAACTGCAAAAAAAGGAAGGAATGGGATTGTTTATCAGCAGAGGACCAGGTACTGTACAGTCACAAGGCTGTTCTTTCCAAATTTGCAAAAAGGCTGAGAATCCCAGCTTTGTGTGTGACTCAGCTGCACAGAGCACGTAATGAAGGGCTGTGCAATTCATAGGTGAGGTGCTTGTTACACTTATCTTACTCTTCATCAGACACAATCTGTAAGTTATGAGAATTCTGAATACGAGACATGTTGCTGTCTAGGATCCACAGACTAAGATTAACTTGGGGTTAACTTATTTTAACAACCTATGGGATGCTCTTCATTAAACCTGCCGATTTTCTTACAGTTTTCCAACAACAAAAAGCAGATACTGCATTTTGCACTTGGAAGTGCCAGACAGAAATCCTACAGAAACGAACCTAGCAGACTTTGCTTTTCTGAGTACTTGTTTGAAGAACAACTTGTTTTACCAAAGTATATCGTACAGATGTTCAATTACTTCTCACATACACAGAAATGTTTTTCATATCTTAACTTGATACGCTTTCACCAAGTGAAGGGTAGGTGGAAGGTAGTTCACTTAAGACAGCAGTAGCTCATGTTCTACATATCAAGAACTGCTCAAGGCACTGTATTGTGAGCCAGCTGAGGCTGCTAACATGACTGATCATGGAGCCAGCTCGCATTCACTGAGACTAAGTCTAACTTTGTTTCCCAGGGAATGCTAGGATCTTCAGCAACCTGCTGTTGACTCCTATCCCAAATTACAGTCCATAGCCCTTTGATAAGCAGCAGTGAGCTGAAGCAGTCATCTTTTAAATTCTGGCAATAGGAATATTTGAGCTCAGAACACACATCTAGGAGGCATGACAAGCCACAGAGCAGACAACACTTGAATAAAATAATGTCAGCCAAAGGCTTCACTTCTTTCATTTACAAAATATGTATTATTTTCAAGTTTTTATTATTTCAGTTCATTAATTGTTTAAACAAAATGAAGCAAAGACAACAACAAAGGAGCTGTGTCTCATTATTTCCAAATGAAGTAAAAAAGTAGCTTATGGTCTAAGTCATGCAGTACATTAATCCAGTATCTAATAGAAATATGTAACTAGTAATAATCTTACTTGCTGCACTTATAGCAATTGTCTCCATCCAGCTGTTCGGGTTTCACAAATTGTTCTAGAGCTTCGATAACAGAAGAAATGTGCTGGAGAGATAAGAAAGAAGAGCATTAGTCAAAGGAAATTCAAAATTCCAAAGACTTACTAGTAGTTTATGAGAGAATCTTGCTAACTCATACTTAGGAGATCTAATATGAACCAGCAAGCACTGTGAAGAAAGAAGCAGAAAGAGTATGCTCAGCACATACCTGATTTGAAAGCAATCTTACTTTGAAACAAATAATTCTGCAATACCACAAACAGCATCTGCAGTGTACTTTGTCATCAGTAATGGGGACAATCAGTCTAATAATTACATTCATATTGAGGTAGAACAACAAAGAAGTACAACAGTATCACCATTTGCGTAAATACGGTAGTTATTCTTCCAGCTTAAAGCCAATGCAGATGTGGAGATGGTTTACAATGCTTCCACAGAAGGACAAAGTCCAACCCACTTCCCAGTCACCACTCGGCTCTTGTTTTAACAACATATTTTTTAAATTGAGTGAGATTATTTTAGAAAGTTGCACATGTATTTAAACATCTTGAACAAAAAATCTTACCTGTATATCCAGAGGTATATCAAGGTATGGCTCATATGTATCCGAAACTGCTTTGCAGTTCAAGCACTTTACTGGATTTAAAAACAAACAAACAACAAATGCTTTACAAGCAATATGTGAAAGAGACTAACTGCCCAGTCTCCAACTAATGATACATACTGCTTAAGTCACATTACAAAGTGCTTTACTACAGAAGATAGAGATCAGTTCTGAGGGCAGTAATATTGTTTTTAAAGTACCTCTGGATCTTAGAAATCCTCCAAATATTTGATGAATGATGGTGGTTGCTTGAGAAGATCTGTCTAGTCTGGAAACAAATGATAATCAGACCTCAGAAGATTTGAGATACAGAATGAACTTTTCAAAGAGTTCTATGAAAGCCACGGACAGACTTTCATTTATGACAGTAAATAGAGAACAGAAAGGTGCTAGAGAAGTAATTTATGCTTACATGGGGCAGCCATCCAAACACGCTTCCTGCATAGCATCAACAGTGAAGCGTAAGAACTCGTGCGCATCTTCCTGAGCACCATAGTGGAAATGTTTTGCTATTCCTAATGAATAAAAAGGTTATAATATTTATCTCATATAAAAATGAAAGAAAACTTTATTTCTAAAACCTCTCTTCCAGATAGTAACAGAACGATTTGTAACATCATCTCCAAATATTAAAAGATATCAAAAAAGAAAAACAGCTGAAATCACTTACTTTTAAGTTCATGGACAATAACTACAGGCTTGATGGCATCAAGAGCACAACACAGGACTCGGTTAATGTGAGTTTCCATACTGCACATCATGCAGAAGCCTTGACAATTACCTGCACGGTGAAAGAAGAAAGCATCGCAGTCTAATGAAATATACATAGCTACAAAGAAATAAGTCTTAACTGAGGACACAACATCCATGCTCCATTCTGTTCTTCTAAGATGCCAATATCTCAGCAGTCTTGTGACGTTTTGTTACACAAAACTCTTTATATAGAGTAAAAATATCCACCAAGCCTGTACTAAAATGTATTTTCTGATGAGAAACCTAGAAAACTATTTCAAAGTCACTTTTTTTAAAGGCTGACAGGAATGTCAACTCCAGACATATACATGAGGAGAGAACATAGGACACTGATGATGCAGCATAAAGAGAACATGTGTTATTTTCAGCACACTGCTGTCAGGTGAGCTTCTTGGTAGAGAGCTAAGAATCCTTTGGGAGAAAGGAAAGATGAAAGTAATGTATGCTATAATACTTCTGCCCTCCTTTTTTCAAAGAGATTTTTACTTGAAACAACTTTTACATACAGTAAGAAAACAGTTAAATTTCTAGAAAGAAATACTAAGATAGCAAATTAGAAAGCATACAGGTGCCTTTGTAAATGCACACATATACAGGCATGGTAAGAGTCTCCTAGGCTTAAATAAATTCAAGTATAAAATTCAAAGAAAAGAGTAAATAAAATACAAGACTTTATTTAGGACGAAGTCAGTCTACATTTTAATACATTGAAATTTGTAGTTGAGTTGGTAACAGCCCAGCTCATATTGCTTTCTATAGTGATTTTTTTTGTTGTTTTTGCTGTTGTTTTTCAACTGGTTCAACAATGATCACACCATTTAGTCCAGCATAGCGTATTATGGATTCTAGGCTGTGAAGACTAAGGATCTGTGATGCCAGAACCCTAAATTTTATCACCTGTCTACCAGGAACCCCAGATGCCAAATGAAATGCATTATTTTCCAACGCGTTTCATTATTTACACAAAGCAAGAAATCTTTTTTTTTTCTTTCTTTTTTCTTCCCTCACCGTGCTACATTAAAGGCAAAATCACTCCATATGCTGTTCTGGGCCCACTGTTAATACAATGTTCAAAGCCAACTTTTACAGGTAAAATCAGATAAGTACAATTTCTTCAGAGAATCACTGCTGCTATTTCAACCTCAGAGCTGTCCCACAGATTTCAAACCGTGTTACAAGTACTCACACGACTGGGTATGCTCAAGGGAAAGCATGTAGTTGGCGAGTGGGGGTGTGTAGGTCAAACACTGTAGAATAGAATTAATAAAACACGTATTGCCAAGATTGTAGAGTCCAACTCCAACTCCATTTTGTGTTTGTTGCCAATCCATACAAATCTTCTCAGGTGGAAAAAGAATCCTTTCTGGTGGAGCAATTCCATCATTGATGACTGCAAGAAAGTTGTATTTTAAAACATAAGGGCTTTTGCTCTGTTCAAAAAACAAATATTTAAAAAATAGCATTCTGCAGGAGCATCCACAAGAACCAACAATAATCCAAACCAGAAAGTTTTATTACAGACAGCTTTAATATCACCACTCCAATTTGCTGGTAACACACGGTGGTGATGGGCAATGTAAGAACAAGCAACTATCAGAGAAGACAGCACTACAGAGCACTGTTACCATTCAAAAACTTGTGCATGGCAACAACAAAGCACACTTCTCTTTGCAAAACAAAGACATGGATGAATCTGTGTATTAAAAATTATCCCCATACTTCAGCATAGACTGCAAATATATCAAGACTAGGTTCTGCAACACCGATCCGCTTCAGCTGTCTTTGTCAATTCACTAACTTGAAATCTACTGAAGCCTTTATTCCCAGCAGTCCCATTTCACATCAGTGCAACAAGTAAGAACTGCATTTCCTACTTTTGTTTTGCTTTGAAGAAAATGGAAGCACTATAAAAGACCACACTTACCTAAATCTTCAACGGAAAAAGGTCTAACTTTTTCAGATGATTTACAATAAATAGCACCTCCACGTCCTTCGTTCTCAGAGACCTGGTTTTGGTTTTTTGCAGTGCGTGACTTCATAGTTTTAGTACGGGGTTTCCTGGGTTTACCGGATTGTCTCGATGAGGACTTTTTGGCCTTTGAAGATTTTGGCTTGTTATCTATGGTCATTGTTCATATCTGCAACAGAGACAGAAGTGCTGGTTGACATAAGAATGTCAGTGCTACACAAAGAGAAGAGCAGAAGAAATTCTGTGACTTAATCTCAAAGAAATAGCCTGAAGAATTGAATAGCTAACCACTAATAGCTCATGTAAAGGACTTAAAGAAAACCCCAAACATGCAAAATCAAAATTTCTACCAAAACTCTATGGGTACTACCTTAACTCCTGCACAACTACCAACTGGTGACATTTTCACTTTCAAGGGATTTTAATCTATTACAGTTATGGTGTGTTGATTTTTTTTAATATAAAAACATATATGTCATTCTCTGAGGGATAGTAGTTATTCACCTATTGATGGTGTTTGAGCACCACGACTTTAAAGCCTGCCTGTTTCTGTTTTGTGTGCACAAAAGTAACTGCATTTAGCTGTTACTTTTTTGCTTTCTTTCCAATACTCATTTTCTATCTCACTGTCTACTGTATCAATCAAAAAGGGTTTCTTGCAATTCTACCATAACAGCTTTTAAACACTATTCTATAACAGCTTTTACATAGCGTTCTCACATCATTTAGTGATTCTGAGTCAGTCTGTGAGGGCTGTTGGGTCAGTACCACGAGGTGCGTTTTCCCAGCCAATAGGAGCTATAAGGAGAGGGACATCCATGCCCTGCCATGCTAACATTCAGGAGATACTGCACTCCTGTGAGCTGCATACCTCTGAGCCTCAACACCCAGAGAAATCTTGGGGAAGGAGACTAAGAAAATGCGTGTGCACTTCTTTCTGCCAAAGTTTCTTTGACCCCTCCATGCTTTGGGTATAACTCTGGCAGCACTACTAGTGCTATCTTGCACCTATCACACTCACAACTCCTTCTATAAGCTGAAAAGTTAGATGCTTTTTGGGCTTTCTGTTTCAGTTCCATTTTGTAAAGTTGCATTTCCCTGCTGTAAAACAACAGAGGAATGTAAGCCATAAAAAGGAAATGGCAAAAAGACCCTCAGCCCTCAAGGACAACATCAATAACTGATTTAAAGTCCTTTTTGAAATGCTGCTTAGGTTTCAAGATGACACCACGTTAAAGACGTGTAACTGTGTATATGTAGTAAGGAGCTGAACAATGGGAGGAATTATCACTGTCCGTGGGTAAATGTTTTCTGCAGCACTCACACTAGGTGTAGGGAACCAACCTAGCAGGGACTGAAACCATCAGCCAGTTCCTTATACTGGACTGACTGAGAACAGCGTGAAGTGGCTTCAGATTTATAGCAAAACTTGATTGCTATTCATTAGATTTACAATACGCTGAACAAAGCACAGTAAATTTGAGTCCCACAAATGACAACTTGTGCGCATAGCCTCAAATTATATATTTTTCTCTTTAAATCTTCAGTTAAAAAATCATTTCAAATCCATTCCATATACATTTTTCATTTCAGAGAAAATAATATGCAAAACTAAAAAATTCATTTAACTGAGAATCGAAGGCATCCTTGTCCTATGGGAAGACTAAGGTGGCAGCGCCTGGGATCAGTGACTTTCAGATAAGATCCAGTCTTCAAACTGCAGATACCAGTGACATCTTTTTTTCTGATTGAAAGGGAAAAAGTTTCAACAACATATTTAAAACCTATTTGAGGGACAAGAAACAGAATCAAAATGGCAATGAAAAGGGAAGAACATTATTCCACACAACCCGGGAGCACCGCAATGACCAATGAGGCAAACCTTACATTCCATTTCACTGGGCCGGCCAGGGCTCCATTTTTACATACCAATAGAACACAGTGGCAGGCAGGTACCAGCATCAGAAAGAATACACCAGATACACTTTTTCAAATTACATCGCTGTCTAATTTGATCTCTGACAAAGAAGTATTAAAGCTACAGATATCAGCCGCATTTCCTTTTCCTTTATCCTACAGATACGTACATACGAGTTCTGTTCCTACAACATTCCGAAAATGAATGGACACGGTTTGTGCTTCAGGTGTTATCTCTGCACTTTCGCGTCTGCAGACTTTTCCTCAACACACTGAGAAGGAAATCAGACGTCAGCGGTTCGGGTAAGGCGGCGAAGCGCTGCCCCGTCCCGAGCTCGGCTCCAGCCCCGCACGGCGGAGAGCAGAGCGGCGGCGAGATGCGAGGGGCCGGGCCGGGGATGGGAGCGGGCGAGATCCACCAGCCGCGACGATGCTGCGATCCTAAGTCACCGCTTAAGGCTTTGTGCATGGCACCGAGGGAGCGCTCGCGGCGCGTCTTATTACAAAATTAACAGCGGCCGTACAAAGCGGGACGGACGCACGAAACAAAACCGAGCCGCGGGGTCACGGCCGCTAACGTCCGAGAGGCGACGGCCGCGCGGCCCCTCCGCCCGCCCCCAGCAGCGCCCCACGGCCCGCACCGCCCTGCTCCGCCGGAGTGCCGCCCCAACGCCCGCCCTCCCGGCCCGGCTCCGCTTTTTTTCCCTTCCCGCGTCCGTACCGGCGCTTCGCGGCCCGACGGCGGCAGGAGCGACGAGGGGTTGGCCCCGCGGAGAGACGGTTGACTATGGCAACGGGGCGGGGAAGGCGGGGCCGGGTTCCACGGAGCCGGGGGGGTGGGGAGGCGAGGCGGGCCGGGACCCCCTGTGCGGGCGGCGGCGGCGGCGGCGGCGACGGCGGCGGCGGCGGCGGGGCGTGAGGCTCCGAGCCGGCGGGAACAACGGGGCGCCGCCGAGCGGGATCTGGGCGACGCGAAACCCTCCGGCCGGGGCGGAACGCGGTGCCGGGTCCGCACGTTGGCGGTGGGAAGATAACGGAGCGGCGGGTGGCGGGCGGGACGCGGCGCATAACGGAGGCGGCGGGAGACGGCGAGAGGCAGACGGTTGCGGGGCCGGACGATTGCTGCGCCGCTGCATCGCTGTGCTGGGAGCGGCGCCCCGCCCCGCCCCGCCCCGCCCGGTGGTCCCACCCCCTCCGGCCTCCCGCCGGGCAGCGGGAAAGCGCGGGGTGGGCCGGGCCGAGCCGAGCCGGCGGCTGTCGCCGGGCGCTTCCCCTTCCCGGGCCGGCCCCTCCCCCCGGCCCATTGATTTCCAGGCGGGAGGCGCACGCGGTGCTGCCGTGCCGTGCCGGGCCCGCCGCTTTCCCCGGCCCCATTACCTGGCTCGGCCGCGCTCGACTCGGCGCTGCCGGGTCCCCCTCGCCGCAGCCCCCGCCTCAGCCCAGCCCGCTCCGCCTCCACTTTCAGCCCGTCGGGGAACAATGACGTCCCTCCGCTGGCCTCTTGCATCCGGGGCCCGGCGCCGGCCGGCCGAGCGGGCGGGGGGAGGGAAGGCGGCGGCGGCGGCGGCAGCGGCGGCGGCGGCGGCGGGGGGAGAAGCGAGCTCCTCCGGGTCACTCGGGGACCGGCACCGCCCCTGTGCCGCCGCCGGGAGCCGCTAGGGGGGGCTCGGCGACCCCCGCTCAGAGCCGGGCCTGAGGGCTGCCACCTTCGTAGGGGTGAGGTGGGGCGGCCGCAGGCCGGTTCTCGGGGCGCTTAGCGGCCCCCGGGTCGAGGAGGCGGCGGCCCGCGCTGAGCCGGGCCCTTTGCTGGCTCTGTTTGCCTCCGGCCCCGTTACTCCCCCCCCCCTCCCGATTAACGTTTTTCCGCCCTTTGCTCCAGGAGCGACCGTAAAGCGCCCGCCCAGGCCCTGGGCCCGCCCTGCGCAGAGGCGGGCAGGTGCCGGCGGCGGAGCAGGCCGCGAGCGCAGCGCCGGGCATGTGGCGGGGCCGGGAGGTCGCCCCGAAGGCCGCGACCCGCCGCCGGCCGCCCGCCATTCAATTCCCTGAGGAGAGCCCGGAGCCGCGCTTCGACGGTACGCGGGTCGTCCTCGGGAGGAGCCGCGGGGAGGAAGGGGTGGGAGTGGGGGGGAGTGGGGGGGGGGGGGCTCCTTCTGCGTGGGGAAGGTCGGAGCACCGCGGTGCCGCCGGTGGAGAGGCGGAGCGGGAGCGGCGGCGCCGGGGCTGATGGAGGCCGAAGGCGGCCGCGGGAGCCTCGGCGGTTCGGTTCGCCTGGAGGTGTTTCAAAGCATTAGTCGTGTTTCGGTCTCCGGTGAGCGCCTCGAACTTCTCGCTCGACAGCAGCCGGTGCCTTTCTGCGAGGCCGCTCCGCGCTGAGCTGTGGGAGCGCTGCGGGCTTCGATTCAGTGTGCAGACGGCAACGTAAGGTGAGCTAACTCGGTCTGTGACTTCTCTTCATCAGAGTCGGATGTGCCGGCAGAACTGCGAGTGGCCAATGGGTCGCAGAAGTTTGTGAATTTCACTTCGACCATCCAGAACCAGCTGCTCCTGGTGTCGCTGCTGGAGCACCTGTGCCACATGTACACGCACAACCCCGTGCACTCGAGGTGCTTGTTCCGAAGTTAGTAAGAGCAGTTCTTCCTTACGGCATTACGTGCCCGCGTGTTCGGCATTGCAGAGCTCTGTCAGTGAGAGGCTCCGGGCCTCATCCTGTAGGGTGACAGGAGTAGCTCTCAGGAGAGGATGAAGACTCCAAGTCAGTTTAATTGGTACCGAGAGCCTCTGTTTTCTGAAAAAAATAAATGAATACCACTGCAGTTGTCAGTACAAAGAACAGGCAGTTCTCTTTCAGTTAAGTCACGAGAGTTGTCTCACAGGAAGGGAAGCGAAAGCAAGGTAATTTGCTTGAGGGAGATTGTGCTTTGTGGTGATATTAAACCGGATCTGAAAACACAGATAAAAGAGGGGCTTGTTAGAAATATTTATCAAGAAGTAGCTGTGGCATTGTCTTCTCCACGTCTGCTGAAATTATGTTTTCTGAAGTCAAAGTAAGCGATTTTGGAAGTCCCATGTTTTTCAACAGAGTCCTTTGACATAATTCTAGAGCTTGCGTTCTTAGACGTGAGGTGTTTCTCCTGAAATCTGTTCGTTTTGGTCTGTGGCTTATCTTAGGTATTTTGTTCATTTAAGCATGTATATAATGATCTCAGAAACCATCTTTCATTTTTTTTTCCTTACTATACATGTATATATACATGCTATACATTGTAGAAAATAAAAATAGCCATGTTATGTTGCTTCTGTTTGAAGCATCCTATAGTAACAGGCAACTCACTTTTTCGTTCTTTAAATCTGGTGTAGGTGTTTGTCACCAGGTTTTGCTATATCTTTATATTAAAAAAAAGAACTTGCCAAAACAAAACAAACACAAATAGCTCTTAGGACTGATGAAAAAGAAACTTTCTGTAAGAAGAGGAAGTCACTCTGTGTGGGTAAGGTCAGCCTATGCTGATAGGCCTAATTCACGATTTAAGATGATTTGAGTAAAATATTAAGGCACTGGATTTTTTAACCTGTTAAACCTATATAGGTTAAAATGAAGTAATTTGCAAAGGTTGTGCTGGCTGAGACTTAGATGTTGGACAGAGGGGTTGGATCTTCACTATATAAAAGGAGAATTTACCTTGGAAAGGTAAGACTGCTCTGTACTGTGATGTGTACACACACTTAATTATAAAGACCAACTATGTTTAGAAGTGATTGGACTGGAGAAAGGAACACTGGATTTTTATCCAGTAGGAACATTATACTTGTCTATTTCATTGTATGTTAAATATTATGTAGGGGGAAAAAAGTCACATCTCTACAAAGATACAGGTAAACCTATTCTGCAATCCTTTATCTCTCCGTTCTATAAAGGGCTAAGTTGGCTTTCCTATCGAAGTATAGGCTGCCCTATGTGATAGATCTATCTATCATGTCAGTAATTGAAATAATTTATAAAACATTTCTGGAATTGGGAAGGAAGAGGAAAAACTGTAGGGACGCCAACTTACAGAAGTATTTCACCATTAGCCATATACTTACCTACTTAATGGTAAGTAATCATTAAAAATACCTGGTTGTTTTTTTCAACATTTTAAAGGTAGAGATCAACTTATACTGGTATACATCCATTATGTGTACAGTCAGTAAAATAGCAGTTATGCAAAATTTATAAATAAAGTGTAGGGGGGAGTTGGGAGGCACGGGAACGTGAGGAAAAGAGAAGAACTGAATCATCCCTAAGCTGTCTAGGCTGAACTTAAGAGGCACAAGCACCATTAGGGAGACACTGCTGTCCTGGGCAGACTGAGGTCTGTCTGTGATCTGATAACTGCCAGCTCTGACAGTAAGAAGACTCGAAGTATCCTGGAATTATTAGGGTTTTATTTAAGCCAATAGTAGTTGAGCCCTTATGGTCCCCCCTTATGACCTGAGGGCCTTGGTTAAGGTGTGGTTACTCAAAGGCTCTCTAAGGGGCCTGGGTTTGATGCAGCCTGTGCCCCTTGCTGATGGTGCAGCTGCTCCATTCCCAGTGTGCTTCTGTGGCAGATGATAGTGCTGCATTGGTAGAGTTGAAGCTGGTTTCCAAGTGGTACTGCAGTAATTGTATCTGTTTTGTGATTGTGGTTACTAAGGTCATGTTGGCCTGCGTGGATTTTTCCCCCCACTTTTCTGTTGCATGTAAGTGTCCATAACGCTCGTACTGCAAAATTCCCAGTTCCTTATAGGTTCACTTCAGCGTGCTTTATGTCCACTGAGAGATAGCAGGCTGATTTTGAAGTTTCAGTACCAAAGAAAATTTTGCAAGCAAGTTGAAGATCTTGCAACTCCTCAGTGTTTGCAGTACATTTCCTGTACTGTCTTTACGGTTGCACCCATCTCCAGTATCAGTTCTTTCTGTCACAGCACTGCTTAACCTGGCTGTGCAGTATGCAGCATTGTGGTGTGGGTGATTTCTTTACTACGGTACTTAAATGTGAGCTGATATGGGAATTAGAATAACACTGTAGTGCCTCTTTACTGTATGGGTGTCCTCATGCTTTGAGTTGCTCTTTTCTCTGAGAGAATGTGGTACAAAGGTAAGGAGTGAACAGGTGAATGTTTGAATGATTCACCCGCTGAGATAAGAGAGAGCAGGAAATGCGACGAAATGCATGGCAATTAGCTGCATTATGCAAAGGGATTCCCCCAGAGCAACTCTAGTTTGGGTTTAATTAGCTTTTATCCCTATGGGAAAGGCCATTGTGATAGAAGTGACTGAACATTCAGGTTTTCAGATGCACTCTCTTTCAAATCAAGTTTGCTCATTTCAGAAAACAACTGCTTACATGGTCTTATTGGCAAGCTTTATTTAATGTGACCTTTTTCTGTTCCTTTGTGCAGTACTTCGACAGGCTTTCACGAGAACAGGTTTGCTCTCCCCTTTTGCCTTCTGTGATGAGTTTAGTACTGTAAGACTGCAGCATAATAGAGCCATTACTGAGCTAATGAAAGCAGCTAACCGACAAGTACTTAATGGGGTAAGCTTTGTTAATTTTGTTTGGCAGCATCTGCGTTTAGGGATTAACACGTTGCATCTAAAGAATATTTTGTTTTGGGGTTCTTTTAATACTGGATTGGTTGTTTTCAGTAACTACAA